CCAATGAATAAATTAAAGGTCAGATAAGAGTGAAATATTGGCGTTATTATTGGCACGGAGTATGAATCGTTTTGTTATTATATCTTTGATCATGTTATTATTTGCATTCTTCTTTTTTCTTCTTCTGCTTGTTGGAAAAAATTACCTAATCGTTAACTAATCGACCAATTGCTTTGAAATTACCTGTGGTTAAAGATTATATTTTTCGCTAAAAGGCTATTGTCTTTATTTATTTCATAAATTTCTGTGGGCCCAAGAAGTTTCGTTTTCTGTGTGCGATGACGTTATTAAACTTTAAAATAGCGCTTCTTATGACGATTCCGTCTTCGCGTCAGCGTTGTTGGGGTCCAGCGAAGTCGTGAACACTGCGATCACTGGTGGGATACTGTGACAGACCGCATACCCGTACTACTTCGTCCACCGCTCTCTAGTTATTCAAATCCTGAAACTAAGCAACAAACTCACCCCTATATCGTGCTGTCCAAGGCGACCTCCCTCTCTAGACTCTCTTCTTGCAGCACATACAACTTAGATCGGCCCCTTTATGGGCTACAACTCGGACCTCAGTGCTATAGTTACCTTCTGTACTAGTATTATTCCGTGAAGACAATAGCGAGTGTAGCGTGGCTTGCTGTTTACGTGTATCGCGGCCATGCTGTATTTCAAAACAGGATTCGCTAAGAATTCAATAGGTTTGTGACGATGCTTTCTTTCATTTGTATTAAATAAATATACATAGTACTCCTATGACATCGGCATCGGATACTTATGTTTTATGAAGCATTTCTTTTCGTCTACTCTGTAAACATTTATTTCTTAGTGTTCGATATTTAGGGTTTTGAGGTTACCCACAAAAGTGAAAGAATCTTTTACCATTTCAATATTCTGAATCGGGGGTATTGTTCTATATCTAGCAGACCGTTTTCTAGAAGGAGAAAACATTCATTTTCCAATGTAATTGATTCACCCCACTGAGAATTGAGCATTAAATCGTATTGCTTTTAAACGGCCAAGAATTGTGAAACGCATCTCCTGTGCTGCCGCAGGTGATGAAGTAATTGTATGCAATCGCATATAAATATTTTGTTTATTTCATATATGTCAATTTGGGGACAGTCTCGGAAGTGTGCGGTATTGCAGTGATTTGTCCATCTATGTGACTCCAAGAAGTAGCTAAAAAAAACTTCCGTCCGAGGTTAGGAAGCATCCGAAGTTATAAGATCTAAGGAGATATCAATATGGGGCGAAATTGCTTATGTGAATGTAGCTCAACTTAGTGTATTAAAATTCAGTTTGGCGAAGACCTAGACAAAGCCGAAATGAACCAACTCCGAGCAAAATAATAAGAAAAGTGTAACATTTACCGTCTGAGTCGCTCATTTGCTCATTTGTGAAGATTGGTATTTATCGAGATGAATAAACACACCTAAAAGAAAAAGAGTCGTGCGGGGATATTACAGCATTTTTATTGATTTGCTTTGCGCCGTTTCTGACACATGACAATTGGATTACAGGTCCATTGTCTGAATACAATTGATAACACTGTGCAGACGATTGTAATATTTATTTTAGAAACCGAACACGACATCACCACTGTGATCCCAATTTTTAGAAACTGGTGAAAGAACCTGGCTGTGAAGTCTGAGTTCCTGAGTATTTGAAACTCCTCGGAGTCGAAATCGGATTTATCCGGAGAATTTCAGACTTTCAAAATTCAGAGTCAAAATTTTCTACAAAAACTCAAGAACCTTTAAGTGTACTAAGCGTTCTTGGCACCAAATAGAAGAAGATAAGTAAATAATACACTTGAATTCTTAATACAAATATACGGTTGGAACTGACGGCTCATCAGAAAGAATAAAAACTCACTCGTACGAAGGCGTTGCATGGAAAGTTGTTCCAGGCAAATAGAATGCGCTATCAACAATAAGTAGTTAGTATTGAAATCCCTAGTGTCTCTCGCTACAATTGCACCAGTGCATACCGGGATACACCCGGGTTAGTAGGAGCGTCAACCCATCCAAGCCACTGCATAGATAGGTATTATTGAGTACGAACAGCACAACAGAATGATATTCAAGAATATGGACTAAGAATGAAAGTTCAAATTCAGAGATATATTGATAACAGTCATTTGCTTTTATATTATTTTTTTATTATGTAAATAAATAATATTATATTCGTGTACAAGATATGTGTGATATTATACAATATATGTATATCAAAACATAATACATGATATTTACTTGCAATAATCGACAATATAATACAACTAACATAATCACGGTAACAACGTAAAACTATTGAGAGAGCGATACGGTTGTAAATATCAAATACGTTATTATTAGATGGGTTCTGGTGGGAACTGGGAGACGATGAATCTATGCAATTAGTCATTAAAGTGTGCTGCGTCTCGCTTCAGTTTTCAGTATAGGACATTTATGTACATCATGATAAGATCAATATATAGCAAAAAACAAACTGAAAAAAAAACGGGAAACATGACTCGTTGCAGTTGATGTGGGGCCGCGAAATACTCATTTAGCGATACCTATAGTTGGTTAATCTGACGCAATTTAATGAAAAATTAAACTTTAAATACACACTCAGTGAAATAAACCAGTGGATTTTTCCTGCCGCATACATAGCAATTTTCATCCAGAATTATTCAATATAGCGCGGAGAAAATTTAAAATATTTTATAATTTAAATCACTATTTTTACAGTATCTAAATACGTGCAGTTAAAATAATTTCTAATTTCTACTGGAATGCTGTTAAGGCAGAAACATGTATATATATCAGAGCAATACAGGCGTGCATCAGGGGCAAGAAATATATTCCCTCTGTGAAGTCGTACGGGTCCATGGGTAATACACACTGTTGAAATCATTGAACTCTATATTTGTCATTTATTGCTACTGTAGTAAATGTTGCCACATTTTAATTATGGGAACGAGGTTGTGTTTTGGAAAATTCTTTCGCAATATCTCACTTTTATTGCCGTGTTAGTCCTGTGATGTAATATGTAGTTGATAACTGGTGCTATTACCTAACTAGTAATATGGAGTGATATTGTGCGATAACACCAGAAACACCTGAAAAGCCCGATCCCAAATAGACCATCCAACCTTTGTTGCTTCGACTTTATTGCAGAAATGGACACAAGTGGATCATTTTATTACGGCAGTTACATACAATTTAATCTAATTATGTGACCAAATATGAAATGAATAAAGAAAAAGAAAATGAAAAATAGCAGTTACCAATAACAAATTTCGAGGCTCAATGCTAGCGCTCACTAAAAAAAAACAAGAGAGCGAGAGGAGGGAGAATTCAGTGATGCCATATTATTCACCGGCATAAACAGCCAAGTCGACTCATTTATTTAGATTAAACATGGATGATAAACATGGAAATATTACATGCAGTTAATTATTACTATTGAATTTTGGATAAGAAATCAGTTCATTTAACCCAATATTAACCTACTGTTCTTATAGAATTGAATGATTATCACAAGACAATGAGAATCAACAGCAGCGAAAGATCTGATCGTAAGCTAAAAATCATTAGACCGTTTACTCTCGTCAAAGATGGTGTCAGAGTTTCGGTAAAAACAGAACTTGATATCGGTGGTGATAATCAGGGTGAATATTCGTAACAAAAATAGATTCCAAATGACGCTGATGATTTTGCTCATTGTCAGAAACTCGCTCTGGTCACGCCCGTGATTGCGACTATTGAGCATACATACATGTGTAAAATCAATGGTGCAGAAATATCGAATCTACATATTATTGTGTGGACAAACTGCGCTTTGTGGCTGATTGTTGTATCTTGAAGATCAGTCCCCAAAACAAGACAAACATCGTAAATACAATTTTATTATTCCTATCATGTTACTTATTAAACCCGATGACTCGATGTAAAACCATTTGTAATTATTTGAAGTCGTCACGCCAAGTGTAAAATAACGTGGTGCAGTTAGTATTTGGGGTTAAGACTAAATTCATATACCTCCTCTATGCTTTTGTGAGCAACGTTGCAGAATTAGATAAAGATTAAGAATAGCCTCTCAAACTGTGACTACCTTTAGTAAATATACTTTCACTATATATATATATCTGATTTATTACAAACTCATACGGGCGATATTATTAAAATATCACAAACGAGCGAGGTGAATTTTGGCAATTTGTCATATTATTGATTTGTATGACAAGGTTATACAAGGAAGTAGAATTATTGCAGATTTATCAAATGTTCAATAGTATGCGCAGGCTACTATCAAAATACGATTAGTTTCAATATATATATATTCAGATAAGACAAATATATAGGTCTTGTTCAGTTAGTAATCTACGTGCAAAACTTTCAATTATAAACTTTCCAAAACCGTCAAGGATGGCAAGCAATGCTTTCCACACTTGAGTAGCCACGAATGAGCTACGACAAAATGAGGAATAGTGTGATTTTACTCTACAAGTGGAAAGCAGAACATTCAGTGTTCATCGACTAGCCTTGAGTTCTTGCTCAGAATATTTTCGTAGAATGTTTGTGACAAATATGCTTGAGACCAAAAAAATATTTGTGTAGTCAAGGGATTCGAAGTCTTGGAAGTTCAGCAATGCATCGGATTTATGTACGGGAAGGACTTTAAGCTTGACATGAGAAATATAGAAAGGATTTTTAAACTTTGTGACTTGTGGCTCCTGGAAAAGGCTAAAAATGTAGGCTATGTACTAAATATCTTCTACGTAAAGTGTGCCAAAACTGCATTGATGTAAACATTTTAGCAAGTAAATACAATCTGGACAACATACGGACAAAATGTCATAAATATACATTAAAACACCTAACTGAACTTATGAATTTCAATGGAAATCTGCATATCGTAGATGTTATCGAAATCTTACAATAAGGAGGGATAGAATGCGTTTCAGCGATTGATTTATGGAATTTCGCAACTCATTAGATGGACATTTCTGTTTCAGATATACAGTATAATAATACCATTGTTATAAAATCCTGACTACCTGATAAATTAAGACAACAAATACAGCACAGCACTTGGAATAATTTATTGACCAGATATGGCGACCGCAAATGTTGCTTTCGAGCCTGGCGAAAAAGGTATATCAAGTCATATCACTAATAAGTAAAAATAACATGATCTCTTACTTGGATATTGTGTATTGAACTGCAGGTCCTTTCTCCTTGTTACTTTCTCCTTACTTATCACTTTAATCCTATCTCGTTCAAGTATCCCTGTGGCGAGTACCACATACGGATCCGAAGTAGAAAGTAAACAAGGAAAGAGGACCTGCAGTTCAATACGCAATATCCAAGATCCCCTAATACTAAACTACTTTGAGAATTGGCAAAAATGAAATGTTAAAATAGTATCGACTAAAAATGTATTTTCTATTGAACTCGTGCATTTCTAAAATTGATATTTAAGTTGAATGAACATTTTTATTTCAAAAATAAAAAAAAATTCATTTTTTAGTAAATACAAAATAAAATAACAATATAATATAAATTAATAAATTAAAATGGGACGGGCTTTCTTATCATTAATTCTCTAAATTTGAACTTGTTAAATATTCGTTCAGTGCTTATCGTGTTTGATAACTACAACGAAAATGACAAAATGAAGGCGATAAGACCAATGCATGAAGGGGAGATAGTTGAACTGAAGGTATACTGGACCCGAAAATGATAAATTACAATTTTTTTATGGTTTTTTTTTCATTATTTCTATATTATTCCTCAAGTAATCTCCTTGTCAGCTCTCTTACTCTCTATACTCAATACTTGAAAAACCACCTAGAACACCGTGGACCAATTGAAACAAGAGATATATTTATTGCCCACAAAAGTATAAGACATCAGGAAACTTATATCATCATTTCTCTCGAGTCATGTTCAATTCTAGATGTCATATTTCTTTTCCAGGAATTACATCCAGAAGCAGTATACGGATCGACACACATACGTTTAGTGCTGTGACCATTGATTCCGCTGTCTATGTGATACAATGGCGCGGAAGTCTTTTTCGAATTTTTTTTATCTAATAGATGCAAAATTTATTTTTCAGAAACTACGGGATAGTAACCAAGCAATATTATTCGGATCGATAGACACTTACAGTGCTGTTGTCGTTGAGTCTGCAGTCTATGTGATACAATGGCAAAGAGAACTTTACAGAATAAAACCATTTGATGAAAATCCCACTTGGGAATATTTGAGAGGACCAAAAGAGTTTCATGGAGCTGAACCACCGGCAGTAACTTTGGATGGTACGTCATGAAACTTAAAATTGAAAATTACGTATTCCTGCCTTTGAAACTCTTGCCAACTTGTTGGCAAACTATAATTTTGCTATTGAGACCACTTAAAATAGTTTATCGACCATCTCACTAACCTTTCACTTTACAGTGACATTAAAGCACATATTTCTTAACAGGTTGCATTTATGTATGCGGCGGAGGATTTGAACGAGCTGAAGTTTACAGGAAGACGGACGAAGAACTTTCTAAAGTGACAAAATCATGTGAAAAATATAATCCAGCTGTGGGACAATGGGAAAAAATTAAAAATATGCATTGCGAAAAAAGACTCAACGCAATGGTGGAAGCCAATGGTGAGTAAATCCATTTAAATACAGTTCATTGATCTTTATTCAGGTTGTAAAATGTCATCAAAATAACTGTTTACAGCTATACATATGAAATAAATTGGTAATTCAGAAGAGCAAATATCTGGCATATGAGCAATCGTAAATACATTTCTTCTTAAGATCCATAATAATAGATCTTGAATAAATGAACAAAAAGTATATGTAATGATGTTACAGGGCACATATACAGCATCGGTGGTATTGGGCGACAAAAAAACAAAACATACGAGGTGGCTCTATATCTCGTGGAAAAATACGATAAGGAGTCGGATGAATGGAGCCCTATGCCTCGAATGAAAAAGTCGAGAATTGCTCCTGCAGTAGCAAGTTATAATGGAAAAATATACGTGCTGGGTACGTCAATAATTTATCTTCCTTTTTATTTCTCTTTGCCATTCGGCAAGCAAAAATTTACGCCAAATCATGGCTCTAATTGATGTTTTAAGGTGGCGGGGTTGAGGATGAAGACAATCCCCGATTACTTGATGATTATAACAGTTGGCTTTATCTCGCTTCTTTGGAGTTTTTCGACCTAAACAGCGAGGAATGGGTAATGGCAAAAAAAGTAATGACGTCACCAAGAATAAAATTTCGGGCATGTGTGTTTGATGACAAAATATATGCCGTGGGAGGCAACAAAGACAAGTAAGTTTGTTATCAACGTGGAATCGTTTATACAAAATATTTTAATTGGGTACACTTTTTTGAAAACAAAACAAGTTAATTCTCGGACAAACCTTTATAAAATTTTCTAAATGCAGCAATAATTATACATTACAGTAAAAACAACGCGGAGCAAGCTAATATACAAGACATCCGTAGAGAAGCAGATGTAAAGGACCAAAGTGCGAAGGCGTGGAAAGTTACAGATTGGATTGGAGAAATGAGTAAATGGAATTACATGGCTACGTTGCTAATGCATGTGCCAACTGAAGAGATGCAAGTCGACTAAGGCACACCCGCGAGCTTGTTGTGGAGAAGAAATATTAATGATGTATAAAATGATAATTTGTCAAAAATTCATTGAATTGTGATGTTTCAATTTACTATTTTATTTAATAGAATTGACTGCACTGCTGTTAGGTTACTGCTAAATGTGATTGTTCAATAGTTGTATCATATTGATGTTTTTAGAAAGAAACAATTATGTAATAGCTTTATATACGGAGTGTCTTAAAATAAATGAAACCCACAAAATTGCAAAAAATGCGTTTAAATAAACCTTAAAATCTAGCTGAAGGCCCCAAACTTTCAGTACTCAACTGTTATTATATGAGCTCACAGAAAATGATAACCTTTTTAACTTCTTTTGCTTTAGTAATAAATGGATTTCATGTATTTGGACACCCTGTATGTAGTATACGTAGTGCATAGTGTCTTAATTATGAATATATACGCATAATAAAAATGTGATTTAAATGCAAGTACTGTTATCATTATGTTTTTGGAATTGATCTTCCTCCGTAAATTTCGAATTCCAGAATCTAGAATATTACGTTGTTTGTGTGGTCCTGTGTTCTCGTTCAATAATACTTAGCTATGCATTTATGTGGTGTTCCAGAAGTATGCGCACCAAGATGTCGCACAACCTGAACCCTAACCGGTACACACATACTATGTTCAGGTTGTGCGCCATCTTAATGCGCATACTTCTGGAGGTCCCATGTATACAGGGGCGTGAATGGATTAATATTGGCGGCCTTACCAACCCGGGTGTGTCCCGGTATACAAACATCTAATCTTAGCGATTGTATAAGAATAGTTACTACGGGTTTTATTACTTCTAACCAATTATTGCTAACAGTGCATTTTATTTGTTTAAAACAAGGTTGTTGACCGTTTTTATTTCCTTAATGATATTTAGGGTACAGTTGTGGTTAGAGCGCTAACGCAGTCGATGTTATTCTAGTTACTCTCTGTGTAGCCAACAACAGGCCACCTAACATACAGCCAGGTATATTCATTCAGAGTTATCTAAAACGCGCAACTTGGGACAGAAGAACTATTCACAAACAGTGTTCGCATATATTTGAATATAGACTTTCATTGCAGCAAAAAGAGTCGGCTCTTGTTTCAAATTTTGTGTCTCATTCTATTGATGCCCAAATACAGGTTCCTATTATGAACCCAGACCTTTCTAATTAAAAGTAAATATAGATCACTTACTTAGTGAATTTACACTTGTAGCAGGTTCGGGTGAAGTTTTTAATGCTTTGCCCAATGACTGGATTCTTGTTGATAACAATGCAGGTCACAGTTGTTGTAATATTGACATGACCGAAAATACGAAAAAGAATCCACCTGAGATTAGAAGTTTGAAAGTAAAGTTTTCAGACTTTTGTTCGAAAGTATCTTTCGATGATGTGATATTAACTCCTGAGGCGAATGATGAATGATATACTTTTCTTGAACAGAATTTAGGTATCATGTCTTGTAGCCCATGAGATCTGGATGGAATCGATTTGGGCAAGTATGAAATTTTAACAATCAGGGGGCCTATTCGTTTACCTCCAAGGCGTGAGCCGTATGCTTTTAAAGGGGAAATAAAAAGACAATTCAAGAATTGCTAGATATTGGTATAATCCAAGAATGTGAAAGTCCATTTCCATGCCCTATTGTACCGGTAAGAAAGAAAAATGGGTCTTTGAGAATTTGTTGTGAGTATAGATTTTTGAACAAAATTACAGTAAAGCAGAATACACCCCTACCTAGAATTGATGATGTTATAGATGCCCTGGGTAGTGCTAAGTATTTTTGTTGTCTAGGTTTTACATCTGGATATTATCAAATTTGCATAGCAGAAAAAGATAAATACAAGACGAGCTTTCTTACATCTACTTCGCAGTACCTATTTAAGGTACTTATATTTGGTTTGATTTCTGCCCCTGCTGTTCTTGGTAAAATAAAGCACATCAATATGTGTGCAAAGCCCTAGCCCTACGACACCCAATTTTCATAAGAAGATGGTACTGAATGGGCCTGAGCCAGGTTTTACAAAAATTGCTTTTCATTTGATCCAGCTAAATGACAATGCTTTTTTTCATTGTAGTGTAATTATGAAGTGAAGTTTTACCATCGTCCAAGTCAGTGGTTCCCAAACTTTTTATTACTGTTACCCCTAAATCGTATCACCAAAAGCTCAATTACCCCTTTCATAAAAATACAATAGTCATAACGTTATCACTTTTCAGCTCAGCATTTCAGCCTACAATCTGTATAGTTAATGTTATTACGTCCCCATCTGTCTACATGCGAGCATTGCGTGCCAAGCTTTGTTTTACCAAGAAATTGGTAAAACAGTGAACGTCCCGATTAACCCCCTAAAAATTACCACCAGTTTGGGAACCTCTTGACTGAGTCTTCTTATGTTCATTATTTTTAAACGGGATTGCCAAAACCGAATATCTATCTATTCAGAATTTGATATTTTCAATTTTAGAATATATTTTGATTTAAACTGAAAACAACTTCATTTGTAAAATTACAATATTCTGATATCTTTGCTTCAATCACATTTGACCAAGCGCAAATATTAGGATTTTTGTTTTTACATTTTTTTGCATGCATTTGATGACTCCATGCTTTGTCTTGCTTGGTTGATGTTTAGGTCTCATTCGAAATTTTGTAAATTTAAATATTTTAAAATGTTTCTGAAAGAAAGAATTTACTATGTCAAATATCATATAGGTTCTCAAAGTGCTCCGTACGGAGCCCCAGGGCTGCGTACGGCGTATGCGTATCGCCGGGTTTGAAAATTTCAACCCGGTGTACATTTGAAAAATAAAATGAAAAAAATATGCTCCAAGCGTGGAACGAAGGATAACGGCATATAACAAGGTTACAAGAAGATCTAATAGAATGGAGTGTATGAAATAATATACTATACCCCATATTGTGAAAACTTTCAAAATTTCAAAAGCGTCATTGGTGGCTAAAAGGGAAATCGTATTTCGAGCTGTCAACTTTATTTCTCACAGAAAAGCATCTAGCGAACATATTCTATGATATGCATTAACATTCGCGCGAAATATAGAAAAAATACGATTGTTTTTTTTGGATGGGTGGCACAGATATCGGGTAAAACTATCAATTTTCACATTTCTATCATGCATGAAAGACCAAAATAGAGTTAGTAACGATTGTGGGCATTCATCGGGATAAATACTTTTCATAGAAACGAACGCATCTCCACAGTCTTGCAGATGGTCCGTAAAATACGTACCGGTAACACATTTGGTATGGGATAGAAACAGATTTATCACCAATAGCAAAGTATTTACCACATCCTAAATGTGAAAACATCCCTTAAATAGAAGCCCCCTAAGGGAGCATACCACTTCTGACTAGTATAGGCATTTGATGAAATGAAAGTCTGAGATGAAGATGTCCAAAACTCCAACAGTTAAATATAATAGAAGTTTGTTATATTTCAGGGGTTCTCAAACATTTGGTGTTGCGGAGCCCTTGAAAAGGTTGACTATTATTCACGGAGCCTTAGAATAAATGTTAAAATTGTTACTTTCAGAATAATATTTCTGAGCAAATTAAAAGTACTTTACTTAATTTGAATGCTGAACATTTTTTTTAATAGGGTTAATACAAGTCATACATAAATCTAAATTTCAAACATAAATTATATATACTAATGCTGTAAATTTGACACTTGACAAACATATTAATAAATTAGGGTCGAATCTTTTTCCTTTCGACATTTTTGGAAGACTTAAAAGGCCGCTAATAACGTGCGCGATTGCATTTTGTTACAATCGCCGATTTTTTCGTCAGTATGGCGTGTTTTTGAACCTTTTAACATCTTTACGCCGGTGTTTATTCTCCCTAAATCAAAAATCCCCTCGGCATATATATACATGTATTGTTACACAATGACGACGTTATTTGCTTTTTTGTTCTCGTGGGGAATTATGTGTTCATTGTGAAAAACATGTTACCATATTATAGTCATCGGTGACGAAATGCTAAAAATAATGACTAATAAAGAGGTAAATCCGCAACTCAAATTTCTTGATTGAAAAGCGGCATTATAAAATATTAAAACTGAAACTTAATAATGGAAGATCACACGTTTTTATAGACATTGTAAATTTGGTGTTATGTTAGGTTTTCATCGTAGTAACTGCGAAATTAAAACACAGTCAATTGTGCGCGCAATGTACCTTTTCCTCCATTATGAAACTACCGACGGAGCCACAAGCAATCAATTGTGCGCGCTCCGCGATGTACCTTTTTTCATTCTGAAACTACTGACGGAGCCGAATGTAATAAAATAAATTTCAGTTGTTCTTTAAATGCTCGCATCGGTCATGGATTAAATATATATTTTACGCAACAGAAATTTCTGATTCCAATTTTGAACCACCTCCCTCTTACGAATGCTGGCTGTGCTCCTGCTTATAAATTATGTCATTTTTTAATTCCACCTTTATGCCATAATTCGAGACTATATTGTTGTCAGATTTTATCAAAGCTGTTATAGCTTCTTTGAAAATTAAAAAATTAGCCAAGTCAGTATTTTGAAAAGTAATTCAATAGCTCGCGGAGTCCCTGGGTTTCTCTCGCGGAGCCCTGGGGCTCCGTACGGAGCACTTTGAGAACCTATGTTATATTTGATATAGTAAATTCTTTCTTTTAGAGACATTTTAAAATATTTAATTTACAAAATTTCGAATGAGACCTAAACATCAACCAAGCAAGACAAAGCATGGAGTCATCAAATGCATGCAAAATATTGTAAAACAAAAATCCTAATATTTGCGTTTGGTCAAATGTGATTGAAGCAAAGATATCAGAATTTTGTAATTTTACAAATGAAGTTGTTTTCAGTTTAAAATAAAATATATTCTAAAATTGAAAATATCAAATTCTGAATAGATAGATATTTGGTTTTGGCAATTCCGTTTAAAAATAATGAACATAAGAAGACTTAGCCCAGAGGTTCCCAAACTGGTGGTAATTTTTAGGGGGTTAATCAGGACGTTCACTATTTTACCAATTTCTTGGTAAAACAAAGCTTGGCATGCAATGCCTGCATGTAGACAGTTGGGGACGTAATAACATTAACTATACAGATTGTAGGCTGAAATGCTGAGCTGAAAAGGTGATAACGTTATGACTATTGTATTTTTATGAAAGGGGTAATTGTGCTTTTGGTGATACGATTTAGGGGTAACAGTAATAAAAAGTTTGGGAACCACTGACTTGGACGATGGTAAAACTTCACTTCATAATTACACTACAATGAAAAAAAGCATTGTCATTTAGCTGGATCAAATGAAAAGCAATTTTTGTAAAACCTGGCTCAGGCCCATTCAGTACCATCTTCTTATGAAAATTGGGTGTCGTAGGGCTAGGGCTTCGCACACATATTGATGTGCTTTATTTTACCAAAAACAGCAGGGGCAGAAATCAAACCAAATATAAGTACCTTAAATAGGTACTGTGAAGTAGATGTAAGAAAGCTCGTCTTGTATTTATCTTTTTCTGCTATGCAAATTTGATAATATCCAGATGTAAAACCTAGACCAGTGGTTCCCAAACTTTTTTGACCATCGCCCCCCTAAAGTAGTTTATACGACTTCATCGCCCCCCGGCAATACAAAAAAAATGTAAAGTCAGAAACGAATATATTACAGACCAAATAAGAAGACAAATCATAGTTTAAATTTGTTTTATGAGATAGTTGAGCTTGGTGTTCTTCA